CACCTGGAGGAACCGTGGTTTAACCAGCGGTGCAGTGCCTTAAACACAGAGGCTGATTAATAATTACCTGCTTGATTGCCTGAATTATTCATACGTTTGTTCAATAAGTACTGGCTGAGTACTTCTCTGACCAGGCACTGTCTAGGCACAGTGAACCAAACAGTCTCCGATGGAGCCAGTGTTCCAGTGGATGATGTTAGATGAGAAAGGAAGCAAACAAAATACATACAATATGTAAACCTGTAATGTTGAGTAGTAAAGTGATATGAAAAACTGGGCAAGGATTAGAGTTAAAATGGGAGTGGAGGATTCTATTTCAGATAGGAGGGTTCATGATGAGGTGCCTCTAAGCAGAGATCTGAGTGAAGTGAGTGAGTGAGCCATAATTGGAAGACAAGTGAAGAGGGAGTGTATTTGGGGAATAGGAAGGAGATCAGTGTGGGAGGAATGAATGACAGGGCAGGGGGATGGGGTGGTGGGAAGGGTATGGAGATATTTTCAGAGACATATCCAGGTAGACTGAAGATTTGTAGGGCATGCTAAGATTTTTGATATTGCACCAAGTGTGATAGGAAGCTATTGGTGGGTACTGAGCAGGGGGACGACATGATTGGCGTTACATTTGAATAGGATCATCCTCACTGCCACAGGGGATGGGTTCAAGAGTAAGAAACAAGGAGACAGGAGGCTATTTTGACAGTCCTAGTGCACCACGATGGTAGTTTGAATTGGGATGGTGGAGGTGGAGGGGAAAAGTAGTAGCGAAATTTGGAGTATATTCTGAAAGGATATCTGAAAGAATTTTTTGATATGCTGAATGTATGATGTGAAAAATTAAAGTCAAGGATGATTCCAAGGATTTTGGTTTCAGCAACTAGATGAATGAACAAGTGGTTTCCTGGCATAATGAAGATTGGGAAGTGAGCAAGTTTGGGGTGTTGTTTGCGTTTGGACTGGGTTAGTTTGAAATGGCTTTTAGGGATCTAAGTAGAGCAGTCAAAGACAATTTGATACATGAGTCTGGAGTTCAGTGGAGAGGTTAGAATAGGAGATATAAATTGTGGACTGGTCTGCACACAGCATTGTGTTGTATGGTGCTGACACTGCTTCAGTTTTGGCATACAACAAAGCTACACTCTGCATGGAGTACTCACAATACACAGATTGCACTTTACTATCCCCTTTAAAAATCACCCTCCGACCCACACAACATAATCTTGTTGCTCTATAACACAGAGTTCTTAATTTCTTTTCTCTCACATATTTGAAGCAAATGAGAATTCTGTGTATTGTACTCAGTGACCACAGAGACAAATTAGTGCACCCCAAGGGTGCCAACTGAAAAATTTTGGAACATTCTTAGAGAGGAGCTACACTTACAAGAATTTTAAGTATATACTTAAGTAGTTGAAGCTATACTTAAAAGAATTGATAAGCAATTCTAAAGAGCTCTCCAGGCTAACTCTCTTACTGTTAACCCTCCTATTGGAGGTCATATCTAGGTCATCATACCTAATTTAGCTTCAAAGGCATTCTGAAATCACTCTGACCTAGTGTAGCCTGGATTGTTTTCTATCTAACATCCCTGAGGTGACTCCAGGGGACAGCTCCAGGATGTGGTCACCAGGGAAGTTCAAGGAGAATATCCTACAGATATCCATTAATATCACCAAAAAACTTTTGGGGACATATTGCCTGGGCCCCTCCTACCTCCCCTCCATCCTTGGATTTAACTCAAGAAATTCCTGGTATCTAAAGAGTTTGCACCTTCATAGTGAAAGACCTCTTGGTGAAGGGTACCTTTTACTCTGTGTGTGGAGGGGAGAAGGGAGACATGAGAATGGAGACTTTTCAGGCACTTTTGTATTATTTATGTCTTTCTCCTCTTTTATATAGGTTGAAGCATGTTGGCTGTGCCTTTCAGTATTTGCTTAATTTGATAGAATTGCTTCTCCTCTCATTCATTTTTTAGTGGTGGATGCACATCAGCTGTCGGATGGCTGTCAGTGGCTGCAGGTGCCCTGATGTTCGTTATCTGATGTCTATGTTTCTATCATATCTTCCGCTTGGGTGCCAGCAGCTGAGAATGTCCCCCATTGTTCTATATTTTTTACAGCACAAGATGCAGTCAAAGTTACAAAGGTTTTTCCTTGATCCATTGAAGACTCACCGAATAAACTGAAGATCATGAACAAATTTCTCTTTTGCAGGGAGAGGTCAGCTTTGGAGGCCATCGAAGCTGGGAAATAATGTTTTTTTGTGGCTACTCACCACATCAAAGTTAATTTTCTCTTACTGGAGTTATTTTTCAGAAACAACCAACTGAGAGGACACATCCAGCATTGTGGCCATTTCCTCTTTATCCATGCTACTCTGCTGTCTGAGTCATTCTGCACTGTTTGTACAGAACCCACAGCTTTTATGCTGTCCTTCAAATAGTAATGTACTTTATCACACCTAGTAGAAATTTACTAGTCATAAACTGAATTATTTAGGGGATTTTCTTTTTTACCAATTTAGACAGTTTTTAATTCAAGAACTTAGGATCAAGGCATATTATGATTATCTTAGGACTGTGGTAATATATAAACTTGTGCAATGTCATTTTGACAAGTGAAGACTGAAAATTAAAGCATATCTACAACCATATTTCTTCAACGTGATAAGTTCATAGGGCATTCAGAGATTATTATTTAAAAAATGTGCTTCCTGCCTGCCACTCTGCTGCCAAAAATAAGCTAGTCTGAGGGGGCTAAGTGTTAGAGGACATTCCTGGGAACTATTTCATCTGGGACCATTTGTGACAAAGCATTCTTGAATTCTTTTTTACTACCTTCTTTCTCTGCCTTCCAACGAAACCAATCTCTGTCAAAAGAGGTAGGAATTTTTTTTTTTTAAACCAAATATACTTCTTACTGCCAAAATTTATAATGGAGAAATTAATTTAAGCTGGTAGTTTATTTCAACCATTTCAGAACATCTAACTGTTAAGAAGTCAGTGCCACCAAATGCACCATGTACTATAATACTGTTTTAGGAGGCAGGAGAGAGGACTGGAAAAAAATCATTGGGTGTCTGGGCTAGAAAATCTGGAGTCAGGGAACTCAAAAGTTCTTTGTTAACAGTCTGTGACCTTGAACAAGTTACTTTGCCTATCTGATCCTGGGTCTTCAGCTATGAAATGCAGCCAAAAATGACTGCCCTGAGAGAAAGCCGATTGTGTCAAAGACGTTAAGGTGTTACACTAGTGAAAATCACCATTGATTTGGATAGCCACATTGCAGAGCATAAATCCAGTGCTTTATGATTTTACACCATACGAATTTGGAAACTACTGCATATGCACGGTTTTCCGTCTAGTTCCCTGCAGGTAAGTTAGTTTATTTTTGGAAAAGACTGAGGAGAGTGTTGCCTGCTGGAAGAGAGTCCTAGAGAGGTTTTGCGGAGTAGAGTTATAGAGAAACTGGCTTCGGGGTGCATAAAACCGAGACTAGAGGTTGCAGCCACTTCTCCGGGAGAAGGAGGGATGGCATTTGAGTCCTTTACACGGCAAGGATGAAAGTGACCACGCGCCACAGAACGTTGGCACCAGGGTCACTAGGAAGAATTACTCCAGGAAATGACCCAAGATATTTACAATGTCACCAAGATATTTACAAACAAACCGGGACACTCACTGCAGGAGAGAGGGGGCGAGGAGGACAGAGGGAGAACATAGGCTCCAAAGACTTCTGTTTTTAGGGCTCTGCTGGATCAGTGCGAGTGCCCTTGAAGCAGAGGGCTCTGAGGGCTGGGAGCGATCGCCAGGCAGAGGCAGTTAGTCCTCAGGACCCGTGCGCTCTTTCCCGCGCCCCTGCTCAGCGCACTCGGGCGCGCCCAGGGCACCCGCCTCCCGCGCCCCTACTCCCACGCGGGTGTCCAGTTAGACCACCCTGGCCCCACCCACCCTGGCGCCACCGAATCGCACTTGCCCATCCAGTAACGGTTTCTTGACCCGCGGCCTCCGACCCCTCCCCGCTCGCTCACGAGAGCCGCAGTGCGCGCCGTTTGGAGAGGGGTAATCCGCCCCGGAACCGACGTGAGCGGCCCCGGGGCGGGGTCGGAGTCGGTGGAAGCGGCTGAGGGATCCCCCCTCCAACCCCGAATCCCGGCCGGTTGTCCCCGCACCCCACCCGGGGCTCGCACCTGCCTCCCTCCACATCCCCCCTCCGCCGGAGCGCCCCCTCCGCTCCTCCCCCCGGCCACGCGCC